GCAGCTGCAATCAGGGAATGGACGAGATCCGTGAACGCGTGGTTTGACCCGTTCCCCTGAGGACGGGGAGCAGATTTGAATATCACAAAGAAGACAAGTTTTTTTTGTGTGTAAGCCTCATATTTGGAGGAGATGATTGAATCATTTTAGGGATGCTGTTAGGGAATAAGATGAACTCTTTCATTAGTTTAGTTGGCGGATTTAGCCTCCTGCACGCAAAAAAGACAAGTGTTCCAATCGATAACATTTAAATACAACAGTTTGGAGGAAGAAGTCACAAAAATGACATATTAGAAATTGCTCTAGTTACCCAGTGGCCAGGAACAAATTTGCTTGATTTATCATGTTGCCTGGTTCTGTTTCTCTTGTTCATCTTTTAAGTTCAGATTAAGGTCACTTCAAGACTCATGGACATGATTTCTGTTTGTTGGTGCATTCAAACCCAAATACGACGCATGCACCAAACTAATCTAATCAAACTGGAAGAACATCAACGACACTGAGGCACCAGTTACGTTGCCTGAGAAATGCCTTTCAAAAGTATTCCCACTTCTTAAACTGGACAGCTAGAGTCAAGTCCTTTGCGGTCTCATTTGTTTTACATGTAGCTCCATCCATCCATCTTTTCCATCAGTTCCTGAACTCATGAACTCGGGAGGTGCCGCCACCGTACTTTTCCATGGACGTGTCAGACTGTGCAGTAATTGGTTTTGCATGTAGGCCAAAAAATGTCGCCCGGTGTTCATCTTCTTGTGATGCCTAAATTCCTTGTGGAAAAATGTCAGAGACTTATGAAAGCATGATATAAGCGTCAGCTTTCTTCTGTTAGTTATGACTCACTTGTCCTGGTTTCTGAATCATCTCGGTTGTAGTTTAGGAGGACGGCTGTGTCTTGCTAGTGGCGCCAGACTCTTTCCGTTTCAGTTTTGTTTCAGAACTTCACCTGGCTTTAGATTTCTGACCAAACTTTCTTTCCATCTGGTTTTCATGTTTGTTTGCTAAAGTTTATTAAGTAGCGTCTGGAGTCCTTCCACACATTACCTTGACTCATGCCGAGATCAGATTCCACACAGGTTAGCTCTTTGTCAATTAAGTGACTTCTGCAAACAGTTGATTGCTTCGGAATTTATTTGTGGGTATCAGAGCAAATGAATGTTACACCTCTGAGATTTTCATTTCTTTGTTGTAATCTCAAATCAATTTCCTCCAAATTCACAAGTCACGGGACACATCGCAGTCTCGGTTGCCGCAACGTTCGCCAGGCCCTGTACAGTCCCCAGTTTAAAATCTATTCAGGATTCCTGGAAACTGAACTCAGCAATATTTCTGCAGAAATGTTTCTTAATGAGAACATTCCTTCCCTCATGACTTACTCAGAGCTAATCATCAGCGATAGCACAGAAAGAATTGTTTCCTTTGTGAAGCAAAGACCCGAGTTATTGGAGGGCAGAGGGTCATGGAGCCTGGTAGAGCATCATACCCTCATGCAGGAGACCAATGATTATTTATAGACAAATAATATGCCTTTTTTTGTTAGCACTCCAGTTTACTACCTGTAACTATGTCATATTTAATTTGGCTGTTTATTGAATTGTATTGTTCAAACATGTGCACCAGATTATGCTGCTAATGGGCCAGGCACAAGCACAACTTTTAAACAAAATCTGGTCCAGGCATTAGATGGAGCGTGGGACGTGGGAGTCGCAACTACCACATACTGACACGCAGTCAGTATGTTGGGAAACAGCTTTAGCCTAGCAAGTGGCTATAGACACTGATCCACAGCAAATGGTGAGGAAACGTCATCCTGACAGACTGACTCGATCGTCGGTGCCGAGTCTACGCGCCTCCATCAGCAGGAGTACACCATGCTGTCACTGCTGCATGCATGCAGTGATTTATATTACAGTTAATATGAACTTCTACATATGCTGCTTGTTTCACTGGAATAGGAGGAATATTGCTTGTTGACGCTTCCGGTTTTTAGAATTGTTAAAACAGACATGTTTGTTGTTTTTTAGGGTGTGTTGGGTGGATTAAGTTGCTTCTGGTTCAAAAGGGGAGGGGAAAAAGGACAAGAGTGATTCCAGAAGGACAAAGAGGGAGTTGCGCTCCGTGTTCTCTGAGGTTTGTGTGTCGTTTCCTTCGGTAGTTGTCGGTGCAGCGCCACCACTGGCGATGAGGTGCAGTGTGAAAGCCAGCCGCTCCAGCTGAAAACCTTACAAACGTTGCGATTTTGGTCCCCAGTCGAACCAAGTCCACTGGACCATCAGGTGTGAAAACACAGTAAGTCTTCAAAAACCTCACCATCATATGTTGTTTCGTTTATTTGTAGTTTTTTTTTTTTTTTTTTGCCTGCTGTCCTCTCTTTCGGCCACTCAAAGAAGCCATTGCGCTTCCTTTTCTTTTTTCGTCTTTTCTTTTTACCCCAACCACCAACAGAAGCATAGAAGTTTGAACAGAAATAATAAAACCCTGCGTGGATTCTTGGCAGCTGCCTCGGAGACAGGCCTCTCAGTCGAAAACCAGGCCCAACGCTCCTCGCCTGTCCATTTTCCCCCTGACTCATTCATGTCGGTGAATAAAGGGCAAGCTAATGAAATCAAGACAGCTGCTCGCAGGAGCAGTAAAACGTCTGCTTTTGTACCAAAGCTAATTATTCATCAGGGCCGCAGTAAAGATTAGCACGGATGTATATGAAGAAGCAAATCCTTTAAATGGCTCTTTTATTGTTCTCCCACTGCCACCCTTTGCCCCTCGCCCCCTCAACATCCACCCTCATTTTAGATATGTCACTGCCGGGGTGTGTGTGTGTGTGTGTGTGTGTGTGTGTGTGTGTGTGTGTGTGTGTGTGGGAACCCCTTGTGAAATGGCTCTGAGCCATTGTTCCTGTTTTATCCCGATGACACCGAAGACTTGTTAGAGCTACCTCTGATAGAGATGCCCAGCAAAAGTTTGAACACTGTTATCAGCGAAACGGAGAATGACTGAGAATAAAGCCACTGGGAATAAAATAATCTTTGGGAATAAAATAAAGTGATAATAACCAACATGCAAGGATTGAGAAGCCTGTCTTGGTCTACTGAGACGTGGAAAACAATTACCATATGGATGTGTAACCACAAAACAATATTAACCTATTTGAATTGAATGAACCAAAGTGTGAATAAACTAAAACTACCACCTAAACTAAGGAATACAAAACAATATTTGGCTAATATAACTAATGAAAGTCACCAAGCACACTCCAAAACTAAATAAAACTGAATTAGATGGAATTGAATTATTAGATGAACAAAAAGTAAAAACTTAAAACTAAACTAGAGTTGAAAAAAGTGAATTTACACGCCTGATTTGACCACACAGTGCATCCATATTATTCACCAGATTGTTATTATCGTTGCTATTAATAACCCCACGTGAGGACAGTTCAGTGAGTGCACTGAACTGACCTCTGAACTCAGCAGTTCTCAAAGAGGCACAGCGGCGCGCGCCTCCTGCTCGGCTGTGCTCCTCCAGCTCTGACGCCCCCTTCAGGGCAAAAAGTGTCCCGACCACGGAGGTCTGCAGCCTGGAGATGTCCGCTCATTGCAGACAACTGAACTTCAGTTCCGAACTCTGGCAGGTTTAAGCCTTTAAAACCTGCCAGAGTTTTAAAGGCTCTTCCCCTTTAAAAAGGAGAAGAACTGTTTTGGGCTTTTTTTAAAGGGGGGAAAAAAGCATTGTGTTTAACTCTCACTTCCTGTTATTAGAATTTTGCAATGAGATGAACACGTTATATTATTTTTTCTTTTTTTTTGTTGTAGTAATGAGACATATCTCCAGACATTTCTTCGTGGATTTCTTTGGCAACTTCAGCAAGTCTCTTTTGTTTCCAAGAGTATAACATGAGCTACGTTGCCTATGAGGAGGATTAGTATGAGATGGGCTTTTATAATACCCCCCATTTATAAAAGGACAATGTATGTATTATATTGCATTGTATTTATTATGAATTTAATTACATATTATGTATTTTCCAGCCATTTTATAGCACAGTCGCGTAAATATGTCACCTTCAGTTGTTATGAATATCCCAACAGAACTGAGAAAAAAAAAACTTAACTTTTCAATTTGACACCTTAAAATTTGGCTTGTCTCTTTAAGAAGCCCCTACTATTCAGACACTCCCCCTTTGGTTCCTCCATTATGCCGTTCACAACTGTTCTTAGGTGCGTTGGTCAAATAAGTTGCAAATCAGACTCTGTCCTTCTCGGTGTTACCACATGCTAGTAGTTGCTGCTGCTAGTCTGGAGGAGCCGAGTGGAGAGGCACAAGGCGTGGAGTGATGGGTGACAGGAAGAGGAGGAGGAGCTCTGCGGAAATAGGCGGGGCTTTGTGAGAGCAAGCGCTTTGGCACCTCTCACTGGTTCCAAGGGAAACTAAAGGATTTCTAAAACATGCAATGAAAGGATCAAAGCAACAGCCCAGTTATGTTTTCGATGAGAGAATAATTACGACAGGTTAATATATATTTTATATTTCCCAATTTCTTTTTTCTTTGTTGTTGTCTTTTGCTATACCGCATAATTCCATATAAGGATCCAACGGGATAGAGCCATCATGCTCCATAGTATCAATAAGAAAGAATAATCATTTCATTACAGAGTGGTGCGGTTTTACACAGGCTACAAGACAAACGCGTGACGTCGCCTGCAGTTCAGCAGTGATATTAACACGATATGCCAATGGGGGCTGCATGTGTGACCTCAACGCTCGTCTCAATATCCTTCATCATCCTCGTGAAGCTCCGCCGCTCCTCTGGAGTTGGGAGATAGAATCAGAGCCCCCCCCCCCCCCCCCCCCCCCACTCCCCCCAATATCCTTATAAGGCTTCTGGACGCCGTCCTGCGGCGTCGCTCCGCTCTTTATCATTGGAGAATATCAGGCAGGCAGGAGGGAGGTCGTCGGTGAAAGGATCACAACTGGGAGATAGATCTCCTCATTGAGGATGCGCGTGTATTTTTATTTTTTTTTTCGTTTTTCATTCTTTCCTTATTCTTGTCTTCTGTTTACTGAGACTTTCTGGCGCATCCAATAAAGGCTGCAGGCTGACGGAGAGCGAGCGAGCGAGCGAGCGAGAGCGCGAGCGGCCGGGCGGCTGCGTGAAATCTGCACGTCGATCGCAGAGCCCGCACGCGCACGCGGTGGAGGGAGGCTCGCGCGCATCCGTCGCTCTCCTCTAGTAAAAAAAGGGGGGCGTGTTGGGCTGGCGCGAACTCAGACCCTCCCTCATTTGCATCAGTCAGTGGAAGGAGCGGAGAGACGCGCGGCGCGCGGAGAGGAGCGCAGGCAGAGACGGGAGGAAAGTTATTTAAAAAAGATTATTTTGGGGGGTTTTCTTTTTCTTTTTTTCTTTTTTTTTTTTTTTTTTTTTTGCTTTTTATTCTTGAGAGAGGCGTTATATTTTGGGAACCTCTCCTCACTCTCCTGTCCTGGCTGCGGTCGGGGTCTGAGCTGTGACAGCCCCGCTGAACGAGAGCCGGAGAGAGGCGTTCACATAGCGGGGGGAGGACCCGTCTGCACGCCGGGCGGAGGAGCCGCTCTCCCGGGCAGCGACCGCGCGCTGAGCGGCCCCCTTTTCCCCTCCCAGCCTCCGGGACTCTGCGGGCGGCTCGAAGTTGGAGGTGAACTAAGTTTCTGCTCGCTTTTGGGAGATATTGTCCTCGTCGTTTGTTTAAGGAGATCAAAAGGGAAGAATTTCGGATCGCGCACTTTGCTCTGTTCCGCTCCTGTTGGAAAGCAGAGAGAGAGAGAGAGAGAGAGAGAGAGAGAGAGAGAGAGAGAGAGAGAGAGAGAGAGAGAGAGAGCAGGGCTGGATGCCTGCCGGTCCGCGGATCAGCAAGACGCAGGTGAATGCAGATGTTTTTATATATTTTTTTTTTACTTCACCCGCAAGATTGACAGAAAAGCTGACGCAGAATCCCGTAAAAGAAATGTTCAAAAACCTCTTTTCATTTTTCTTTTTCGTTATTATTTTTTCTCTCCCACAGAGAAATCCGTGAATTTGACCGTTTTGACCAAATCCAAATATCAAACTCTCTCCTCTGCTCCTGGTCGTTAATGAAAATTGCACCACGGTTAACATGCAACACACTTTTCTACTGTTTTATGTCACAATCTCCAATTTCACCGCGCTGCGTGTTGTGCGTCAGGCTTCCACGCTCTCTCTCTCTCTCTCTCTCTCTCTCTCTCTCTCTCTCTCTCTCTCTCTCTCTCTCTCTCTCTGATCCAGCAGCTGAACGGCTTGCAGGCTTTGCTGAAACGTTCGCCTTCATCGATTTCCTCTAAATTTCAGAGCGCCCGGTTTAATGGTGTCACGGCGGCGGGGCGGGTTTTAACAAACAGGCGCACTGGTGCGCAAAAATAATAATTAAAGAACAAAAATCACAGAGAAAGAAAGAGAGAGAGAGAAAAAAAATGAAATAAATACAGTTATGTGTGGGGGGGTGATCCAGCTCCACTCCAGTTTGTGTGAGAAGGAGATGAGTGTTGGGTCAGGACTCAGGGGAAGTTTCGCAGCGATCACCTGAAAACAAAAGAAGCCAATTTGGATGAATTAAATAGTCTGTTTATGGTGGTCCTGTTGTTACCCAGTCGGGGCCCGGAGCAAGAGTGTCCTGTTGAGTCACTACATCTTCCATTACTGTTTTTGTGAGACAGGATAGGATGGTGGGAGGGAGAGAGAGAGACAGAGAGAGAGGGAGAGAGAGAGAGAGAGAGAGAGAGAGAGAGAGAGAGAGAGAGAGAGTCTTGTCACTTGACGAAGCTCTCTTGCTCAGTGCCTCAGTGTTCAACTCCGCTCACATATAAGGATCCTTCCAGACAGGTTGGCTATAATCAAACCAATCACTCTCCTCCACGGGCGCAGAGAAGCAGTTAAAAGGCGCAGAGCGCGCGCCTTAATAAGCAGCTTACAATCTTCCTGCTTTATTTTTATTATTATTTTTTTTCCCCCTTTGTGCAGTCCCACAGCCAAGGATTATTGTCCGTCATCCAAAGGAGTAAGGGGACGCAAGGTGGAGGACTGGAGGACTCGCATCATTCGGCGTCTCCGCGGTGGAAATGGCAAGGCGGCCGCTGGAGAGAGGAGAGCAGCCGGCGCAGGAGAGGAGCCGGAGCCGGAGCTGAGTGACAGGATGCCCGCGACCTGACTGCTCGCAGCACCGATTCAGCCTGGAGTTTTTTCCCCTCTTTTTTTGTTGTTTTAAATTTTTTAATTATTTTTTGATTGTTTTTGCTGCTAAAGTACATTTCGATTTTTTTTTTTTTTGGGGTTTTAGTTTCGTTTTCTTGAACTGTAACGGAGAGACATTAAGAAAGAAACATACAAAAAAAAAACGCTTTTGGAGGATTTTTCTTTGAAAAACAAATACTTCTTCTTTTCCCGGAGTGCTTTTGTTTTCTTTTCTTTTCTTGTCCTTCTTCTTCTTTTCCCCCTCATTTTCGGAGGAGACAGAACGAGGATGCATTGTGGATTAGTTTCTGTCCTGTTCATGGGATTCCTCGCGGTGCTCGGGGCTTTTAAAAACGGTAAGTGTGACATTCGACACGAGTGCAGATAAAGCCGTTGTGTACCCAGCAAAGCCGCGTAATCCCGCTGTTTTCCCCGCAGATTAGCCCCTCTCTGATCTGCGCTGATCTTTGGGCAAACTCTCCAGTCCGACATTGACGTCAGTCTAAAGTCTGCTGGAAAACATCTGAACTGTCTTGAAAACTTAGATTAAAAAAAAAAGTTAAAAAAAATTATTCATATTTTTCATTCTTATTTTCAATTATAGTATGAAAAGTTTCTTTATTGAACTCCAGACATGTTTATTGCTTTTTAAATCTGCACACTGAAGCCTAACAGAGGCAATAATGGATTGTTTGTCGGATTTATGACGCAGTCAAGAAAAGGGCATCTGCTATATGTGTGCGTTAATTGACTCAAGCATCCAGTGCATGTTCAGTATTATAATTATTATTTAGATCCAAAAAAATAAAATAAAATAAATCAAAGGGCTCATGTTGACGGCAGTTGCTTTATAAATAAATATATAGCTGCAGGAAGAAAAAAAAAAAGTGGGCCTTTAAAAATAGACTCTGCCTATTTTTAATGATGAAACGCGCTGTCAGGATGAGGGAAGTTTGGAGGAGCAGATCAGCCCGACTTCAAAAAAAAAGAAACCCACAAACTTTCAGCAAAGCGACTGTGCGCTCAGACTCCCTACCAATCTCTGACTGTGTGCTTGTTGGAATATTCAACACAAAGGCGATGTGCCTTCTTGTCTGTCTGGAGGTCGCGTAACCACGCGCGCGTGGCAGAGTGGAGTTCTGGGAGGAGAGGGAGGGGGGGGGGGGGAGACACGCGCTCGTGATAAATAATTAGTTTGCCCTAATTTTCCTTTTTCTTGTTTTGAAACGATTAATCTCCAGTTTCGATTCAGTCGATCAAAATCGATTGAAAAAAACAAAAACAAAACAAAAACGATCAAAGCAAGAAGTTTTTTTTTCGTGACCTTACACTTTAAAAACGAGTCTTCAGTGTTAACCCATTCAAATGACTGACGGCTTTAATCAACTGTACCCCCGCACGTGCGTGTAGTGGTAAAAAAAAAATATATATACTTAACCACTTTGTTAACAAATCCCCAACAACATTGCATTTGAACTTTAGAGCTGCGGTCGGCGTGGTTAGACTTCACCCTGAGATGTGAGGTGTTCTGCAGAGAACATTTATTGGCCAGAAGTTGGGAGAAGTTAAAAAAAAACAAGCCGTCTTCAGACTTTGAGGTTCGCAGAGTCTCTGTGTGTTGAAGTCTCCGGCTCGTTCAGCTGCAGCCTTGAGACAATACAGCAGCAACGTCGAAACTCGCTCAGCCGCCTTGAGGCAACAGTTGACCCTGAATACCACATCTTAGTCGTGGTTGTCAAGGGAAACGGCTTGATGCACCTCGTTAAAGCACATTTTTTGTTTTATATAGGTACATACATATAGGCTGCATATATATATATATATATATATATATATATATTATATATATATATATATATATATATATATATATATATATATTGTCAAGTCTAAATTAAATAGGCTTCAGCTCATATCACTGCGTGTCGGTTGGCAGACATCTTGGTTCAAAAACGTCCAAATAAAACGCGGTTTTCATGGTCAAACTCAAACAGTCGCTTTTTGTTTTGTTTTTTACCAGTGTGACTGAAATGCTGACTCTTGTGTTTTCCTTTTTAAAGGAATTGAAATATCTTTTGATGATGACTGTTGGTTAAGGGTTTTTCTCTTTTTTTTTTTTGGCGCGACATGCAATACTCTTTTAAAGGGCACGTCTCTCGCTCCCCCCCCTCTGCAGATAAATGCGGAGGCAACATCAGGATCTCCAGCGCCAACTACCTCACGTCGCCCGGATACCCGCTGTCCTACCCGCCCTCTCAGAGGTGCACGTGGGTCATCTCGGCGCCGGGCGCCCACCAGCGGATCCTCATCAACTTCAACCCGCATTTCGACCTGGAGGACCGAGAGTGCAAGTGAGTGATGACAAAACACACGCGCCGTCTGTCTGGACGCTTTTCGGAACCCCGTTCAGGATCCGTGTTCGCCCAGAAACCTGTGTTCCGATCATGAGCGCGTGTGCATGTCAGGTGCGCGCGCGTGTGTGTGTGTGTGTTGTGTTTTGTTGGAGAGATTCTCCTTCCCCCATCCCCCTGGCTTTCCTTCTTCCCTTTCTCCCTTATTGCACGTGAAACTGCGCCATCTAGCGTCTAACAGCGCCAACAAGCAATCATGAAGCGATCCTTTCTGCGGTGAGACAGAAGGATGAAGGAATGTCTCGTCCCTGCTGTTTGGTTTTGGGAGAGTCCGTCATTTTTGCGTCTTTGTGGTGTGAAGTCACCGGGCTGTGATATTGATTAGACTTTTTATTTATTTTCCTTTTTGCTGGGCCAAATTCTTTCTCAAAGTTATGTCTGCTGGGGTTCAGTTTGTGAGAAAGTGAACATCAAATCCCAAGTCAAGACTCATTCTCGTAACTCAACAAAGCCGTGAGAGGTTCCTGGAGATCGACTGCTGCTTTTGATATCAGAGTCGGAGCTTCCATATTTCTCCAACGGCGGCTTCAATATTTGTGATACGACTCATGGCTCAGAGTGGCATCGCTGTCAGGGGGTGGCTGATTTCAGGATTCCCATTCTTTGCTGGATTAATAAGCTGCTGGATGCTTCCTAAGGAATCCGGATTGCATTTCACCATGTCTAGTTTGAAACTTTGAAAACTTGGATTGGACAGACCTGAGTGGATATGACTCTACACTGAACAGAAATTCTTTAAAACATAGCTGAAGATTTCATAAACCTTTATTCTGTCTCTGAAAACACCAACATGTTTTCGGAATAGTTGAAACTCGACTGTACCCTACAATAATTGATATAAATTGGCCCTTATTTCCTTAATTTTGGGAGATAAGTGATCGGTCGATCACAAACTAGTAGTCTTATCCACAAGTCTTACTTACCTCGGCGAAGGTCTTAAAATCAAACACTGACCTCTTCTGCCTCGATGTGAGAGAGACTCGACTGACAGCTGTCACTAGTCACCTCACTGTTAAAAATTCAGCGACTTTCTTCCTATGTTTAGCCACACTTCTTTCTAACAACAACAACAAAACGGTATTGTCCAAAATCGGAATCGGCAGGTCAGGCTTTCCGGTCACCGGAGATCAGCTGGAAAACTGCGCTTGGTACACCCCTAGCAACTCTAAAACATGCATCGCAGAAGGATGGGCTCGCCAACAAACTCCCAACTTGTTAAAAGCGACCTTTAAATCGGGGCCGCTCTGTGACGGTCTGGTGACTGATCGTCCTTGGACTCGTGAGCCACGAGCTGCTGCACCCAGCAAAAGGCTAAGCAGCCGGCCTATTGTCAGGCAGGTAGCCTGAGCCTCTGAAACCAGAGACAGTCAGTAATGTGATGAGGCTGTGTCAGTGCGGGTGCCCCGAGGTGAGCTTTGCTGGGCTCACTGCCTCGCTCTGATTGCTCGTCTCTCTGCATGCGTTTGCATGCGTGTGTGTGTGTGTGCGTGTGTGTCGGCCCTGTTCTGTCTCAGCTGTTTGTTTACGCTGCAGGGCCTCCGGAGAGCACAGAGCTTTGCTGGATCCTGTTACTGTATCCCCGCTCCACCCAAAATTGGGACCCTACGCTTCCCTTTGTGCTCCTTGAATGGTCCCCCGTATACACTCGCGGCAGCTTCCCTTTTTCTTTTTTTTTTCTTTTCAAACCTTAGATTTAAATCCCACTTTAACCTTTCTTTACTGCTGCCAGAGATTTATGGCAGGCTATGAATGGTGCTGTCTTTTAGCAGCTGGATGCTCTTTGAAACTGCTTTTGGTTCCAGTGTCACCACCAGAGGGAGGGGGTGGTTGAATATGAATGAGGTCTAATATGTAGAAACAGAGGGTGAGGAAGGGTCAGCAACAATGGGCTGTGTTAATCTAATTAGTCAGGAATGTACATCTTAGACATGGTGGAGGCAGAATTCGGTTCCTCCAGGCCTCCTGGAAGTGAGTTTTCTTCTGGTTTGGGGGAGGCGGAGCCCTCGCTCCTCGAAGAGACACCGAATGTCAGCAGAACTCGGTTATGTCTGAGGAACTTCCTCAACTCCATTGCTCTATTGAATACTGCTATTAGTGGGAAGAAGCAGTAAAAATGAATTTATCCGTTGACCAAGATGAAAAAACCTGCCAAAACACACACAAAACGTCTCGATTCCTGCGACAATCAGCGTTTTTCTTTGATGAAACGCTCATTGGAAGCGGGCGTCAGCACCGGCGCTGTGGTCAGAAAGGTTCCTAATCGCTTGTTTCCAGGATCCGTTAACAAACGACCCTGGCAGACGGCCGTGAAACCCGAGTCTGGAACCGATTCACGTGGGCCTCGCAGAGCTTTCACTCAAAAACTGGAGTGGCCCCTATCGGTTCCTTTATGCGCCCCGACTTTAACTCTATGAGCCGTTTCATTTTTAATGTTTTTAGTGCAGAGGTTTTAATGGGACTTTAGTCACGCTTTGTGATGTATCCCAACTTCTGGAAAACTGGATCACTAAAGTCTTCAGTTTGGTCTCAAATGACCCTGTCAATTTTCTTCACAGAGTCTTAAAAATTCATTTCATTTGCTGTTTCTGTTTATTTATCATGCATATTTCAAATGTTTTCCACTTCCAGTGTTCAATGTTAGTTAGAGTTTAAAATTTATTGTTGGATGAGAATATGTTCATGCATTATTACGCCGTTACCCATCATATTACCTGAACGTGAACGAAACAACAATATTATCGTTTATCGCAATAACTCCTGGGACAATTTACCGTCCGGAAAAATTTGTTCTGTGGACACAACATAGTTGCACCATAAGGGTGTCAGTGTGAACAAAGTATTAAAAGATTGTAGAGCGCTACAATTATATATTTAATCCCCTAAACCTTTCCTCATTTAGCACCAACAAATGTCAAAACACTTTATGACACATATGCTTTCGTAATACTCTTTTATGTGAAAAACCAACACAAAGCGCAGCATAATTGTGAACTAAAATTTAAATGATGCATGGTTTACAACATTTTCATTTTCAGAGGAAAACCATTAAAAAAGTATGTGGCATGAATTTGGATTTAGACACAGCTAAATGTTTACAGAAGCACCATCTGCTCCAGTTCCCACTGCAGGTCTTTCACAGCGTGTCTTTCTACCAGCTTCACCGGTCTGGAGGAGAAACTTTATGCCTTTTCTGCTCAACTTCAGTCAAGCTGGGAGGCCAGCACCTTTGAACTGCAGCTCCCTGTCTCAGTTCCTTCAGACTAGCCAGCAGCAATTAGCAAGCACCTGGTAGAACTGCTTGTCTGCTGAGATCATTCCACGAGCTCCATCCCGGTGTCACGCTGGTAAAAACGTTGTTAAAGGCTTAATACAGGAGCCATGTTGTAATAACTTCCTGAAGGGTTTCAGAAAGAGTTGGAGTTCTTTTTCTTTTTTTTAAGAGACAGAGGACCAATTTCAAAGTGTTAAATTACAAAGCCAAATTTCTTTTAAGTCATGTCTGACCTGTACAGAATTTTTATAATAACCGAAGGTAAAGACTATCAGTGTGCTATAAAATAGCACTATGTGCCTGAATAACGCATGAGATTCTGCCCCTTTCAACATAACACCTTCTTTTGGTTTTCTTCTTGCCACTCTTAATCCCCACCCCCCAAAAAAAAACAATAAAAAATACACTGAGGTTTGTGGCTGCAATGTGACAAAGAGAAAAAAGTTTAGAGGGTATTAACACTTTCTTTTTTTCCAAGGCACCATTTGAGTCAGTTGTACAGTTGGGCAACATTTGAGTTGGACGTATTAGAATCCCCATCGCAGCGCCACTCACCAAATCAGCCCTTCCATAATGGAAACTGATGAGATCCAGAATGCCTTCCTTATCTGATAGGCTGCTAAAGCGAGTGGGGGTTGGACGGCGCTCACAATGCATGCTTCACTGCCCTGCCACACAATCTAATTAGCGGGCCAGTGGAACACACATGCACCGCATGGTCCTCCGACATGGGCCTTATCAGCAAACCAAACAAGAACCACTCAAAGAGGCGCTCGTAAAAAATAAAGAAAAAAAACAACAAAAAAAAAACAAGTCTTTGCAGAGTGGAGTCTGGCTGCCGTTTCATGGGCGCGCTACCCTTGACAGGTTTGTTTAGGGAAGTGCAGAGGCCTGTATCCTGAGAGCGGCAGGAGGAAAACACTCCATCACAGAGATAAGGGGGGACTAAGTGAGCCTTGCGATTCTGAATGCACGACGTGTTTACCTTTCACGCACCGTTGTAGACTTTCACGGAGTGGAGACTTCACGGGGCGGGGCCGCCCTCCCCGCCGCCTCTCCCAGCTAATGAAGTTCGAGGGAAAAGGCGCGGGCCGCATCAAGACAAATATTTGAAGTCAATTTGCTGCAAAAATCAGCGGAATGAGCTAGCTGAGACGAGGTGAAACAAAGACACCAAGGTAAACAGATATGCTTGCGATCCACTCCCCTTCCATGCATCTAGTCTTTGTTCCTTGGGGGGGAGCTGATAAGGCCTGTCAGGCTCATCTGGAATGGAATGGAAACTTCAGTGGATTTAAATCGAAACAAGTGACAGAGCGGCAGACCCGATAGCCGATTCATCTGCTTTAACAGGAATACCGCGGCTTGCTGTTTTCTACTTCGAGGTTTGGTGAACTTTGAGATTCAGAACTTACTTTAACTTTCCCATCCTGACCCACGTCTCTGCTCCCCATGCTCTCGTCTTTCCCACCTCATCTTCTCCTGCTGACTCGAAAGTGGAGCGCCAACGATGTTTGGATCCGGCGAGCTCCTGACAACACCATGAATCTTTGATAGCGTGGGATTTGCTGACCAGAGCAGAAAGCGGCTCAGTGTTGAACACAATAAAATTCCTCGCAGTCAGTCAGTCAGAGATTCAGTCTTGTTTGTTTTGGAGGAGCAGAAGAGT